CGCACGCACGCATGCAAAGTGGAGCTAAACTGGGGCGATGGCTCACGTGCCATCAGAGGGGGTGCTGCGTGCCACGTCTGGCACATGTGCCATAGGTTTGCCTACACGGGGTTAGAGATTGGGCATGATTAAGTGGGAAATGAAACTCTCAATGCTTTTCCAAGCTGTTCCATTTCCAGAAGAACAAATATCACATATATGCACTCTTTACTTCTCACTCAGCTGTATGCAGAATGCAATCTTCCCCTATCCATCTCATGTGCAGCAAAAAGGCAGTGCCTTTATTCTAATGTAGAAAGATGTTAAGAGAAATCACATTTTTATTCTTTCAGCCTAGAAAAGACAAGCTCCTGTTTTACTTTGAATACAAGGAGCCCTTCTAGCCATCATATGAAACACTGGAAGAAATGCTCCTTTTCTTCCTTTAACAAATTCAGAGATGTGTGAAGCCAAAGAAATTTCTAAACTAATTAATTCATTTTATGGGAAGAATAAACTTGCTTATATTTGTGTAATTCGTAAAACATGGATTCATTAGCTACTCTCATTTGCTAAACTCAAGAAAGACACTTCCTTGCATTAAATCAGTTTATCTTAAACTGCTTTAGGTTGTAAATTACTAGAGACTGTAAGGTGCTCTTGGTAGTCTCTCTCCCAGTATAGATACTGAGATGAGACATAAATATGGGAAAGCATAAGAGGTAGAGGTAAGGAGAGAAGGTGTTGAGGAAAAAGAATTAATTCTCCCGAGATTGCTAGTCAATAGGTGAATAATAAAATTAGACAGTATTTATAAAGCTATAAAACCATGATGGCGAACCTAGGTCACGCGTGTTGGAAGTGGCACAGAGAGCCATCTCTCTGGGCATGTGGGCCGTCGTCCATTGCTCTTGCGGGTTCTGGCGCATGGGCCAGCTGGTATTCATGCGTGCAGGAGCGCCGGAACTTGGAACAGCCGCCGCCCAGTGCGTATGCATGTGCCGAGATGATAATCTTCCGGTTCCCAGTGGCCACCTGATCTTCTGGTGTGCATGTGCGCACCTGAAACTAGAATATCATCTTCCCGGCGCACACATGTGCGACTTCTCTTCCGGTTTCTGGCACTTCCGCGCATGTGAAGATCAGCTGGCTAGCGAGCCAGAACCCGGAAGAGCAACGGGCAATGGCTCGCGTGTCCAAAGGTGGGCGGTCACTTCCTAGGGGAGCAGAGCTGTCGGCCAGGACGGGCGGGCCAGGGCTTCCCTCTCTCCTCCCCCAAGCGGGCTTCTTGTGCGGCCCCAGCCCTCCAGCCCGCAGCACCGATGCGCGTCTGCGGTCCAGAGCACTTGGCCAGCTCGGGTGCACAGGGCAGCATTTGCTGGCTGGGCGGCCACCCGCCCCACCCACTGCTCCTGCCGCCGCCAGGAGCGAGGGGACAGCGGCGTTCTTGTACTGCTGCTTCTGGCTGGGATGCTGGAGCAGCCAGGAGGAAGAGGAGCCACCATCATGGAGATGAGCTGCCCCAGGAGGGATGGAGGAGAGTGCAGCTCCTCATGCATGGAGATGCTGCCAAGGGCCCAGTTTGCTGGTGGGGGAGTGGCTGCGGGGGCCAGCCGGTTGTTCCTGCCCCTCACCCTGTGACTGCCACTGCTGCTCTTATGGGGCGGCGGGGCTGCGCAGGAGCTGAGTTTGCGCAGAAGGAACATCTGTCCGGCTCCAGGGTAAGAGCTGTGCCGGCCAGGAAGCTGTCACGCTCCCTTGGTAGAAGTAGTGGGAGGGGGGCTGCGCTGGCTTGTTCTCAATGGTGCTTCATTGGCACTTGTCCGGTTTCCGGCATGCGCAAGCGCACCGGCCAGCTGGTCTTTGAGCACACATGAAACTGGAAAATTATTTTCCCAGTGCGCGCATGCACACTAGGCAGCTGCTCTTCTGGATTTTGGCAGGTGGTCAGGCACTCCCGTTTTGGCACCTGGTGCCGAAAAGGTTCGCCAACACTGCTATAAAATAACTGGAAAATCATCTTCATGGCTCTTCACGAGAAAGTTTTGAAATTGAAAAATTTACTAACAATTGCTTTGACTCTTGTTGTTTAGTACAACCCACCAAAAGTTATATAGTTTTAAAAAATATAGTACTTAAATGATTATTTTGGATGTTGTTTACAGTAGAGAAGCAGGATTCTTAAAATGGATCCCACAACAAAAAAGGTTACTTTTTTTTTTTTTTTTTTTAAATTGATTTATATGCCGCCCTTCTCCGGAGACTCAGGGCGGCTTACAATGCGTTAAGCAATAGCCTTCATACTTTTGTATATATTTATACAAAGTCAGCTTATTGCCCCCACAAACTGGGTCCTCATTTAACCTACCTTAGAAAGGATGGAAGGCTGAGTCAACCTTGAGCCTGGTAAGATTCGAACCTGCAGAAATTGCAGGCAGCTGTGTTAATTACAGGGTGCATTAAACCACTGTACTACCAAGGCTCTTCTTCAGTTCCTACTTGCCTAACCTAAAGAGATTAAGGAATGTAGAGAATACACTTTTCAGGATATATCAGGTTACTGACAGCTAATACGGAAACATCAGATCTAACAGAACTTTATTGAGCAAAGCCTAGAAACATAAGCCAGGACAATAAATCCATTGAGGATTACCAGAAATAACAACATATCTATTTTAAGTTGATCAAATAAGCCAACTTTATTTATATTCCTTTTAAAAATCTTGATCCTTACTCCCTTCAAATAATGGCTTAGAACTTGATTTCTTTTCCTTTTTTTCTTTATCCCTTCTCACAAAATTCTTTGAAGCTTAATAAGCCTCTTTTGTGAATCCAATACAGAAAAATTACCCAGGTCACTTTCTTGGTTTATTTTTGTTTATCTCTTTGAATTATTAAGACATGAGGTGGTTTCTTTTGTATGTCCAATGTAACATCTTTTTCAATAGAATTCTTGCAGCCTGTTATTTTTAGATCCACTTTCAGACAAGTAACTTCTGGATCCGCTGTTCAAAAATATCCTTCAATATGTCCAATGTTAAAATATTTTGCTTCATTCTGTATTTATCAGGCCTGAGACACTACAGGAAAATCCAATCAAGTTCAATCCTTTATTTACATACACCTAATAGAATTTGCCACCTCTTTTCCACACACTATAAAACAATTCTCATACATTTGAGGCATAATAAATCCCAAATATTGCTATACGCATACATGATGACAGAGTTTTTCTCCACACCTTACAATTCTAAACACTTTGAACTGTGTCTCCCTGTAGTGGACATATTATTGGGAGGTATATGAACCACAGCTGAATGTTTTAGAAGGCACAGGCCTGGAGAAGGAAGGTCCATATACTGTAGATCAGTATTTTTCAAATTTGGCAATTAAGATGTGTGAACCAACTCCCAGAATTCCCTGCTAACAGGCTGCTTAATTAATTCCTAGCCTGGGAGAAAGTCTGCAAAACTTAAACATTTCCATAAATTGTGTTGTTTTCTGAATGGGAATGCTTCTAAGTAGAGGAAACTTAGCTTGGAAAAACACCAAGTTTCAAATAAGTATAAGGGAAAAGTCAGTAGTTGATGTGGCTTGTTTGGAGAATCTAATACCGGTAGTCCTTGACTACAATTGAGACCAACATTTTTGTCGTTCAGTGAGACATTTAAGTGAGTTTTGCCCCATTTTACGACATTTCTTGCCACAGTTGTTAAGTGAATCACTGCAGTCGTTAATTTAGTAACATGGTTAAGTGAATTTGGTTGCTGGTCAGAAGGTCACAAAAGGCGATCACATGGCCCTGGGATGCTGAGACCATCACAAATATGAGTCAACTGGCAAGTGTCTGAATTTTGACGACGTGCCCATGAGGATACTGAAATGGTCGTTAAGTGTGGAAGCGGACATAGGTCACTTTTTTTTAGTGGCGTTGTAACTTCGAACAGTCACTATATGAAATGTTGTAAGTCAGGGACCACCTGTACCTCCGAATAACGAGTTCGTCGTTTTAATGTGACCAGCAAAAGCGCTCGTATGCGGGGTGGAGGGCGAGGGAGAAAAAGAAATGAAGCACTAGGCCCCGGAGGAAGAAAGAAAAGGAGCCGGGTCGACGCGTGCTGCTTACCCTCTTCCTCGTCCTGGAAGCTGAGCAGGTTGCGGCTTCCGCGGGGCACCCCAGGCGCGGGTCCCCATTCTTTGCCCTTTTTCCGCTCCTTCGGCTTAGAAACGGCAGACAGCCCGTTGTTTCCCAATGGCAGCTGCTGCGAAGGCGGCGGCGGCGGCGGGACAAGCGCCATCGGGGGTTGCGGCGGCTGCAATTCCGGGGCCGGCAAATTGGGGCCTCCCCGACCTACCACCTCAGGGCTGCTAAACGCGAAGCCTCCGCCGGAGGACGGGGCAGAGGAGGAGGGGGAGACCAGAGGGACGCAGCCGGTCGGAAGAGGCAGCAGCGGTGGCTTAGGGGCTGGCAGCTCAGGCTCTGCCGCAGGCCCATCACCTCCTGGAGGCGGCGGCGGCGGCGGCGGTTGAGACGGCAACGCTTCATCTCGCTCTTCGTCGTCGTCCTCGGACTCGTTCCGCTTCCGCACATTCACGCGCCGTGCCTTGCGGAACATTCTTCTTCAACTTAACCGCCGCCGCTGCGGGAAGGTTTGAAGAAGAATCGGGGGGGGGGGGGACAAGCGCGAAAAAACCAACTACCGCAACGTCGCCGAGAGCGCGCACGCTGCGAGTCACTCCTCGCTCCCTCCCCGTTGCTGCAGCAAGAGAAGCGTCACAGCCTAGAAGTCATCATAGCGCCCTCTACCGCACGCCGCCGCTTTTGACTATTTTTCTCTTTGCCGCCATGGGCAGAGAAAGAAATATCCAACAGGGCTCTACCGTCGAGTTCGCCCTGTTGGCTAGAGCGCCTCGTTAGACCATAGATTGAGGCACGAGTCACTGCCGGGAGGTTAATTGAAGAAGTCGGCCATTTTGGGACAGAGGGGAAAAAAACGTAGGTGGGGAAAGGGGAGGAAGGCCTGTGACGTAAGTGGTCCCTTGGCAACGGATATGGAAGGGCGGGAAAGTGACCAGTGTATAGAAATGCCCGAAGGGTAGCGAAGTTGCCGTTGTGATCGATCGTCTTATACTAAACGAAATGAAAAATAAAATATTCTTTATTGGCTAAATGTGATTGGACACACAATAAATTTGTCTCCGGTGCATAAGCTCTCAGTATACATACAAGTAACAAAGTGGTAACTCATAAATCATAAGGTACAATCACAAGTCGTAAGATACAACCAACAAGTGATAGTCAAAAGATACTAATAGGAATAGGTAATAAGAAAGGTGAAAAAAACAAAATTCGACAGAGATTTTCAAAATATCCTTTGGTTTAATATGCTAAATAATATACATTTCCGGCAAGCAGCAAGGGATTTTATAAATAGCTGGGAACAATATAGTAAGCTACAAATTAATCACTCCTTATTGAAGTGTACAACACTAAAATCTTGGCTTAATGAACTTCTGTTAGAATGGATAAAATTTGGTTTTGACTTCATTCTCATTTAACTGAGTAATATCCATTAAATCACAGGCATATCTGGTATATCAAGTTTTTGCTGCAACAGTTGCATCAATTTTGTAATACAGATGGTTAATGTCAGATTTAATGACATCTCTGCAACAATATGTTATTAAAATTTTATTATATGTTTTTTGTGTTTCAGGGCTTTTGGTGGAGACTTACCTTTGAATCAGTTGTCCCAACCAGACATCCCAATCAGTCGTCTCAGCCTTATAGAAACTGAGAATTGAGAAGATGAAAGAGTACAGGAAAAATGATTGTGTTATTTTGATACCCCAAAATGAATGAGAATGGTAATTATTTGCTGAATCCCTAAGAACAACATCCACTTGTTTCTAATTCATGGTGTATGCATACATCATGGCAAACTAATGAATATAAAAGAAGAATATATATGATGAGACAATAAGGAGAAACAACATCAAGTGCATTGCTATTTCTAATTGTATGCTGGTAAGGCCATGAATTACTGTTTTAAGTTACACCTGGCATGCTAGCAAAAGAAAACAGAAAAAAAGAAGATAAAAAAATAATCACAGTCCTATCTGATTAAAGATAAAATTCTCAAGAGAATAATTTACAGATGCATTACAGTATGCTCTGGTGCTTTTCTATGAAAAACACTTTCATTATTGTTTATTGTACCATGTTACCCAATATTAAATGCAGTGGGGAATACAGTTTGTTGTTTCAGTTCTTTTTTAAAATGAATAAATTGCTGTTTCTCATTCGTATTATAACCTTTTCACTTCTTTAATAATATTTGGAACCCTCTTTTGTATTACTACGGGGCAGCAGAATCTTAGTTGCTGATTATTCTGCTATTTCTTAACAGAGTAGCATAATGTAAGGGATTTAGCAATCAGATAAGATTTTTGAAAAGTGCCTAACTCCAAGACCATATATCTAGAAATAGATATAACTACTGGTATAGCTATATAGTTAGAAATTGTCTTTGGAAATATTTTTGCATTTTATACAGCATAAATAAAATCTTTGTCTGAGAAACAATTTCATACAATGTAATTAAATCCCACAAGCAACCCAAGGTAAATCAGTAAATAAAGGATATTATTAAAAACATTTAGAATGCAGTTGAAAACATAATGAAATTATATGATAAAATGAATTCAATTTTTAAAGAATAGTTACAATACAAGAATGGGAAGAATTATTGGCTTAAATCTATAAAATGTACACCGAATTATAATTTAAAGGAAAATTGGTACAAAATGTTTTCAGATAATATACGACTCTGTCGATAATATCTGAGATATTCAAATAATACTACAACAAATGCTTGAAATGCCATGAAATAGAAGAAACTCTTTATTACATGCAGTGGACATGTAAAATAATCCCAAACAACTGGAAAAATATACAGAGGACAATGCAGAACATTTTGGAATTTAAATTTGTAATGAAACCACACCTTTTTTTACTAGATATAATCTCAGAAAAAAATCAACAAACATAATTTAATGAGATATATGGTTATAGCAGCAAAAATAAATTTTGTATAACATTGGAAGAAAAATATAGTAATGATAATATCCGATTGGGAATATTTTTATCTGATTTGGGGCTTAAACTTTGAGAATATGCTTTAAAACTAGTATATATACACAATAGAGGTTTAATCAAATTTAAGCAAGAATGGTTCCCATATATATAATACAGCACACAGAATGTCAAATAGAAACAAAAAGTGAATAGCAATAGCACTTAAACTTATATACCGCTTCACAGTGCTTTACAGCCCTCTCTAAGCAGTTTACAGAGTCAGCATATTGTCCCCAACAATCTGGGTCTTCATTTTACCAACCTCAGAAGAATAGAAGGCTGAGTCAACCTTGAGCCGGTGGGAATCAAATTGCTGAATAGTTCCTTTTAAAATTATTTTTTAGTTTTTTAATTCCTGTTAAATTTGTATTGCTTATATACAGTATTTTTTCTTTACTTTTTTCTATACACACATAAACACACATGTACACTGACATATATACATACAGTATGTATCAATCATACAATGGAAGTTTCAATAGTAAGTAATCAGTTCAAAACTGAAATCTTCATTGTACAATCAATACTTTGATGTAATCTGCAGCAATTTCTTTTTTCTAATATCCTCAGTTTTTATGAAGACAAAAATATACTTATAATATTGATTTTTTATTTCCAATTCTTAATCTAAACAACATATCAATAATTTTATTAATACTGTACAAATATTGTATCAAAACATTAAAATATCAGGATTATTATGGGGGGAAACCATTCATGGATAAAATAATTCATGGGAATAATTGGAAATTTGATCATGCACTGTTTACTGTGTTTAGGATTGTAAAAAATATCTCAACGAATATTACTTGGTTACTGGAATTAAAAGAAAATTCTTAAATCATACAGTTGGAAGGAACCTTGATGTTTAGTTTTGTTTTTAAAATATTTTCTTGGATACATTCTGCTAGATTGTTTATTGAGCATATTAAAAACAGATCAATAAGATCATTTTTCTAATGTCCTTAAACACTCATGTAACATTAACAAAGTCCTTTGGCATACAGTTAATAAATCTGTCAAATATGGCACACATATATACTTATCTTAATCATGGAAATACAATTCATGTATTCATGTTATACACAAACATTGCATTTTTACCTATGCATATAACTAAAGTAAGTATACTATATTACATAAAGTGAGTTTAAGGCATCCCTTCTTTAAAAGTTTGGTAAGGTATGGAATACTTCTTTGGTGTTTATTTATTTTTCAAATTTATGTAGGTGTCCATCTCACAAAAGAAGTGAGAAGTGTATCTGGGCAAGATACAACAAAGTTAAAAAACAATCATTCACAAATGATGATGATGATGATTAAAAACATTAAAACTTTTTCTAATAACATTGCTCATTTTTATGTGTTTACATTATTTTTGAAGAATTGGTGGTATAAAATCTAATTTCTGATGTTCAGATCATTACATATCTAAATCATATTTCAAAATTTATTCTTAATTTTAAAATAGGATTGTTTTATCTGTGCTATCTGTAATCAGTACAATAATACTTGAATGTAATGCATTAAGATAGAATAACAGAGTTGGAAGGGACCTCGGAGGTCTTCTAATTCAACCCCCTGCTCAAGCAGGAGACCCTATACAATTTCAGGCAAATGACTGTCCAGTCTTTTTTTAAAAGTCTCCAGTGACAGAGCCCCCACAACTTCTGAAGGCAAGCCGTTACACTGGTTTATTGTTCTCACTATCAGAAAATTCCTCCTTATTTCTAGGTTGCTTCTCTCCTTGATTACTTTCCATCCATTGCTTTTTGGCTTGCCTTCTGGTGCTTTGGATAATTGGTTGACCCTCTCTTAATTCTGCAGGGCCCTCAAATATTGGAATGCTGGTATCCAAAACCTTATAAAGCAGTACTAACACTTCAAATGATCTTGATTCTATCCCTGTGTTAATATAATCTAGGATTGCACTGGCTTTTTTCGTGGCTGCAGCACACTGCTGGCTCATATTTAAGTGATTATCCATTAGGATTTCAAGATCCCTCTCATAGTTACTGCTGTTGAGCCAACAACATTGCTCCTATACTAGTAGTTCTTGACATTTTTCTGGGAAATATAAGCTATGTACATGGGTACAAAATATCTGGGTCATTTCCCCTCCTTATTATGGGATTTAATTATGCCTTTCTAAAATTTCAGTGCCTTTCACACAACTGCCTGCAATAATTCTAACTATTAGGATATCTCCTGCCTTCTGGGTTTTTACTAGTTTTTTTCCCATTAAAATGAATTAGTTAAGCAAACTTCAGCATTACCTTAATTATTCTAGTTATTACTCCAATATATTTCCTGGCATTAAATATGTATAATTTTGTGATCTAAGAGGGGCTGTTGGCCACATGTAACACTCTCAGCCTACATGTTGATTAGAAAGATTTTTAATGTGATTGACTGAAAAGTGGGCTTGATATATTGATACAGGAATAAGGAACATATCATTATGGGATTCTTTGCAAACATTGTATCTGTAACATATGATCTGAATATTTTATGTGGGATTAAATGTGGTACTTAACACTTGGTAATTTCTAATGAATTGTATTGCAATTAACACAGTCTCTTTTCTGACAGTGGATTTCATTAGGAAAATTGACGTTTTTAGAAGATAGGGTGCGATTGTAGTAAAAGTAAGAGGATTCATTATATACTTATATGCCCACTCAGGCAATACTAGCTTTTAACCGGATTATTTTAGAAGCTATTAGTTAATTCCAGTTTAAATAATACTAATCTTCAATGCAAACATTTTAATTATATGCCAATGCAATTATTTCCATTTATTTATTTAATTAATTTAATTATTTGCATAATGCATATCCATTATGCAAAAGCAGATTTATGCATTTTTTTCAGATATGTTCTCAAGAATGTTTATAAATTCAGAATTATGTGATTTAGAAAGAAATTTTAATAAACATCTATGGCCATATGTGTGATGGGAATAAAAAGATTCTGGAGTATTTTTCTGTACTGTAAAACAGCAACATTTTAATATCTACATTATAAAGTGTACAATGAAACCTTAAATTTTGAAATCCAGACTTTTTAAAAAATCATTTTTAGGGATATTATTCTCTAATTCAAAGGATGTATTAGATCAGTGTACTTATCTTTAGATGGTTTCCTTTAAGTCTTGCCTGGTATATCAAAGGTGTTTTCCAGGACAAGAATATTTTTTCCTGGACTAGGATATTTGCTAGGAATTACTATCACATATATTGATTTTGTAAACATACAATAAATGAAATTGGGGTAAATCTGGCAATGGGAACACTAGGTTCACATAAAGAAGCTTTTGGCTACACACCAGTGGTGGGTTGCCCCAGTTTTGGACCGGTTCGCAAGAACCAGTAGTAAAACTGGAGGGAGGCTCCGTCCACTGACCCGGATGTCATCATAGGTGATCTGCAGATGCGCAGAAGCTTCTTCGCATGTGCAGAATAGTGTGCGCACGGGCGCGATGTGAACTGATAGTAAAGGTACTGATTGTGGCAGGTGGTTTGGAGAACCAGTAGCGATGGCAGCACGAGGCTCCACCCACCTGCCCGGGTGTCGTTACTTCCTGGTTTTAACCAGAAAGTAATGTGTTTTTACCCTCTGCGCATGCGCAGAGGGTCTGCATGGCACATGCACTTCCAAACAGGTAAGGAAGGTAAGTAGATTTCACCCCTGCATACAAAGTATCAGAAAGGCTATATGTAACTCAAAAGCTACATTTCTTAGAAGAATTTAAATATTACTGTCCATATGCCTATATAGAATAAATCAGCCTACATTATTAATATAACATGACTTGAACAATTATTGTTTATCAGCGTTAAAAGCTTGATAAGAACCATGGTGATGCAGTTGTTAGAAAGCAGCACTGCAGGCTACTTCTGCTGACTGCCGGCTGCCAGCAGTTGGGCAGTTCAAGGTTGACTCAGCCTCCCATCCTTCCAAGGTCAGCAAAATGAGGATCCAGATTGTTGGGGGCAATATGTTGACACTGTAAACCGCTTAGAGAGGGCTGTAAAGCACTATGAAGCTATGAAGCTGCTATTGCTATTGCTATTGCTATTCTGGGATTGAATTAAACTAAAATATTCTATAGCATTCTGTAGATTATACTGAAATAGGAGCTATTAGGACTAAAGTTTATTCATCTCCCTGTTATTATTATTTTTGTAATATAAAGAGCAACAGAAGTTTAGCTTCTACAATATCTCAGGATGACCCAATTTATAATATTTATATTATAGAAATGGCCAAGATTTGTGTGTTAATAAATGAATGTTATGATACAACTTTTGTTACTTGGGGTAAAAAAATTGTCCAAATGTGGAAATTGGTATGAAATGTTAGAAATATTTTCTACACTGTATGCTTTCAATGGGCCACTGCCATTGAAAAGAGATGTGTCTAAAACAGCAACATGAGTAATCATGTTTTTGTCTTTGTATGACATCAACTTGCCTTGGGCTCCATTTCCACAACTAGTAGAGATTGTTAAACTTTGCTGTTTTAATTGGTCATTACTCTCGCTTCTTATCTGTAATTTTTGTAATCCCCAAATAGTCAAATATTTTGTTGTCAAAGGAATAGTGCCACAGAGCGAGAGTTTTAGATTGTGCACAGATGTAACATTTAACAGGATTCTCAACATATCAGTTTCAGTGAACCAAATTACCAAATTATTATAGTAGGTTTTGTCTACTGTATAGGGCAAAACAGTCCTACAGTTACAAATTAGATTTGCCAAGCTATAATCACAGTCATTAATACTATCAGGACACATGCACTTACGAATTGTATTTTCTTTGGTAAAAATAAGTGTGTTATTTTTTTCACTGCACACAGAACTATCTACACAGAAGCTTAACAGACCAATCAAAAAGAGATTAATCCTGTGGGCTGAAAAAGCCATAATTCTTGTGGAGGTGATAGCTCTAGGACCTTCACTTACTTAAATCACTGGAGGGAACATTTCACTCAGAAAACAGGTTTTGCCCCAAAGATTTCTACAACATCCATTTATATGTGGGGGGGGGGGGGCACAATAAAATGGTTGAGAGTTGGGATCAGTAGTTCTTGGAAAATATTCTACCCTCTTTACAGCACAGAAGTGAATTAAGCCCAGGCTGAAATTCTTATTTCTTTATTGGAATTTTCCCATGTTTTGGTTTTTGCTTCCATTGGGATTGTCTTCTAGTTTTGTTTCTTCTTTTGTAAATTTGAGGGAAAGAGTGATCTAATTCATAAGATCATTGGAAGAATAAAAAAGGCTGGATATGTCCAAGTATAAATGCAGCACTGTATTCCTTCCTCGTAGGTTTCAGTATAACTCTCTTGCAGGCTTAAATATAATAATCAGATGAAAGATATGCCTGGAACCAATTTTCCAGACCTTTCCTTGAGGTTCAGCTGGATGCATATCTGCTTGCCTGGTAATGCTCAGAGATGTTAAGAGACTTTATTTTATAGTGAAATATGTCTTACATAAGCATCAGGGCCACATGCGGCCATTTCAGCAGATCTGAAAAACAAATAAGCTTTATTTATTTATTATTACAAAGATTTCTATACTACTCCATTCCAGACTGGCAGGATGTAAGAAAAGATAATGCATTAAAAACAGTAGAAGAAAAAATACAGTAATAAAGATATAATCTACAAGGGGGTCTGCATAATATAACTTCAGACCCAGAGCAAGGGACAGTGAACACTACTGTAGGCATCAGTTTTGCATCAATAGTATGGTAGTTGCACTGATTTTCTCATAGGCTGGTGACTTGTAGAATTCTCCAGCCCATTTCAGTTGCATTAGAAAATACAAAAAGCCTTCCAGGAAAAAAAAAAAAACCAGTTATCTACACAGCAGGTGTTTTTTTGAATAAAGTAGTAACCCATCCAATCATTTTCTAAAGGAAAACAGTCGCAACATTCTGTTACCTTATTTTTCATCTATTCTTGGAAAAGTTATGTGACTGAAAAATATGTGACTGAATTAAGACAGCAGTGATATCCCTGAACTATAGTTTTTGAATGAAATATTTGGAATTGTGTTTTTCCTCTGCAGGCAAATTTCTAGTAATCAGAACTTATTCCCATTACAATGATTTTTCACTTATGGATGACAGCTGGTCCAAAAGCTTTCATGAGATAGACTTTCTTTGTTTCTGCAGGCAGTTTTTGCAGCTCTTTTGTACACTTTGAATCGAGAATTTAAACGGAAGTTGAGATTGAAGGTCACCAACTTCAGTCTCATTACAAACAAGCAGCATTCCATATATTTCCAATTTTATACTGAAGAAAGAATGCTCTTCTTGCTGATCAAAGTACCATACTTAGAGGAAGCAATGTCCATTTACAAGCCAGCTTCTGTGACTTATATTCCAAATCTGCAAGTATTCAAATTGTCTGTTTCAAATTGTAGTGTCCAAAAAAAATTACATTTTCTGTTCACACAGCAAATATTCTAAATTGAGGAAGACAACTTGATGACTATATCCCCCAGAGTGTCCTCAGGAATCTTTACTGATGCCCTGCATGCTCCCTACTTCACCTGACATGGCCAAAGTTACAGAATACTGGGACTCATTACTCCTGAGAGAATGAAATTTGGGGAAGTTGTGGCAATTTCACTACCGCTTGGTTGCTGCTGCTTCAATACTGTCAGGCTGCTGCTGTAGCCAGAAGGTTTTCAACATTCTGTGACAATTTCCCAGCTACTCATGCAATCCTTCACTTTCTCCCCCAGCCAGCAGCAGCCACTTATCTGCCTTCTGGCGATGAGAAGGGAGGAATGGAACGGAATGGAATGGAACGGAACGGAACGGAACGGAAAGGAAAGGAAAGGAAAGGAAAGGAAAGGAAAGGAAAGGAAAGGATGTAATAGGAAGAAGGAACAGAGGAACAGGAAGGAAGGAACTCCCGTGCACTCTTCCTGGTCTATGCTATCCCCCATCTGCCTTGTCCAATATGTACAGAACATCATGTGCACCCCATTCAGCCTCCCTTCCTTGCACTGCCTCTTGTGTTTTCCCCAGCCTGTGCAGCACCTCTTGCGCACCTCCTTAATCCACACCTTCCCTCCTGTGCACCTTTCATGATCTACATGGCACCTTTCCCAACTTGCATTCCGTACATGCTGTCCCCAAGCCAGTCAGCACCTCTCACACACTCCTGCAACCCTCCCCATGCATTAATTACACTGACCTCTAGCACTCCTCCCTGACCTGTACGGGAAGAGTAAAATGTGTTTTTGATTCATTTAAAAGTATACTCTTCATTTTCTGAACACTATTGCCCATCTCTACATCATAGTAATGATGGGGGTTTTTTTAACATTATGCAATCATAGCTATGTTTTTCAATATATATGATTAAGTCATAGTTTAATCTCACAGTAGAGTTACTATGCTTAAAAACATTTTAAAATAACATTCTTTTTAAAATTAGATAAGATACATAGAAAAAAAACATGTCTCATATTCAGTTCCTGGAATTAGTTTTCTTTTAAATAAACTTGCAAATGCCAACGGGTGATCACATTGCCAATGTTTGTTTTATCCAAGTATGTGGTATCATAGCAGCCTGTCACTCCCACGAAATATTTGTACTGATACTGGAAGACTTTTAAACTGAGATTGAGCAAGTTAGGTATTCAAAATTAAAAGATTTAATATAAAATGTCAGGAAACTATAATTTCTGAAAGGCATATTGGAAAAGTGGCAACTAATGTATTGTATATTGACATGCAATACATAACAAGATAACTTTCAATAGGCCTTAAAATATATTTTTATAGCACAAGTTTTAAAAATGTCTTGGTGTAGGGTTGATTGCTGATGCCAACAATATAAATCTTAAATATTCATTTCAGAAGATTAGTGAAATAAAATTTTAAATTAGAAGGGATAGAGTTTCTGGGTTTTGAAAAAAAAGGCAACTGGATTGCCCTTTTCACAATTTAGTTATATTAAATACTATTTATCCAAATGCAGCATATTTTATCCCCAATAGTTTTATACATTCATCTAATACCAGTAGTGGGATTAAAATCCCGTCACTACTGGTTTACTCGTGGGTGTGTGCGCTTGCGCACATGTGCAACACTTCTACGCATGCGCGGAGATGTCCAGGTGGGTGGGTGGAGCCTCCCGCCACCGCTGCTACTGGTTCGCCCGATCTGGTGCAAACTGGTAGCAACCCACCACTGATCTAATACACTAATTAAACAGCAACTGTATTCAAATTTAATCCTAAATTTTGGCATATTCCATGAATTGAACTCTGACTAGCATAGCAACTATTCTCATAGGAACTTCAACAAAGTTTGAAATCCTACATTTGGGTCTTTGTATATTTGTAGTATAGGCCAAGTTAATTTGGGCAAGAAACAGAGCCTCCTTAGTAATTTGTCAAGACATTTATCTGCAGACAAAGAAAACCTCCCTCCCTGTTTTCCCGTCCCCCGTCCCCCTCCCCAAATCTGGCAACTATAAGTATTTGTAGTTGTGGCTTAAACGGGCATTACCAATTTTCATCAATATACCTTCACTGAAGCATGTAGGAAAAAGTTTTGAAAGGTCAAAATCAGCACTCTGAATCTGGTTGGGAATTCCTTCTGTTCTGCAATCAGTTGGAATATATTTCAGTTTTACTTTGCTTTTTCTTTCATGTTGTTTGAAGGATTTATTTATGCAGTTTGCAAGAAATTCAAGAGAAGCAACATTAAAAATGTTTTAAAACTGGAATATCAATAATTCTTACAGAATTTATTTTGTTTCATTGTGATACTTGTGTTGATTTAATCATACCACAGAAAACAATCTATGTATTGCATAATAAATCTGCTTTTTATCGTGTATTCAGGACACAATTAACAGGATACCAATTTTATTTTGGTCATATTCTTTTTTTTTTTTATTTACACTTTATTGGTTTTTTTTTTTTTTACACAAGTAAAATATAATAACAATTCTGTTTGACATCGGGTTCGCAGTGTTTGTACATATATACATGAAAAAATATCTGGTGTCATTTATACTATACATTTCTAATTGATTTCTACACCTTTTACTCCTTCCTTGATTCTATCATTTATCCATTCGTACCATCTTCCCCACACAGTATCATAATCTGAATTTTCATCATCATTTATCTCGTGTGTTAATTTACTTATCTCTGTACACTCTAATATTTTGCTGATTATAAGGTCGTCTGGTGGTAGGTCTTTCTTCTTCCAGTATTGAGCATATGCCAGTCTGGCAGCTGTAGTTATGTGTATTAGGAGGTGGACCTTTTCCTTTCCATGCCCTTTCTTTACCATTCCCAGGAGAAATATTTCTGGATTCAAGTCGATTTCTTCTTTAATTATGTCTTTCAACCATCTCCGAATTTTGCTCCAGTATCTTTTTGCTTCAGGGCATGTCCACCACATATGAAAGAAGGTGCCCTGACCATGGCCACATTTCCAACAATTTGGGTGCACATTGGGGAACATCTTTGCTAATCTTGCAGGTGCTAAATGCCACCTATGGAGCATTTTATAATGATTTTCCTTGTAAGTGGCTGCTCTAGTTAATTTATAGTTTTTATTCCAGGCCTCTTCCCATTCATTAAAGTTCAAACTGTGCCCAATATTACTCTCCCATGCTCTCAATTGGTTTCTGATTGTATCCTCAGCTCTGTCTTCATCTAATAAGTAATTATATAGCTTGGCCAACGCTTTTTTTCCTGGTCCCATCAAAATTTTGTCTAATCCGTTGTTTCCTAATTCTAAGCCATACTCATCCTTATCTTTCTGGTATCTTGATTTTATTTGCAGGTAAGTCCACCAATCTAAGGTTGTACCTTGGTCTCTCAGGGTATCATTTGATTTAAGGTTTCCCCCTCCGTCGACAATGTCTTTGTATCTGCACAGTTTCTCCATTCCCCACCTGTTGGGATAAATCAATGCCTCTACCGTAGAGAGCCAATTTGGGACTTTTGAATAATATCTCTGCCTAATCCCCGCCCACATTTGTATTTTGGTCATATTCTTATCTTAATCCATTAAATAGAAAAAATAGTAGCACAACCCTACTAAAAGCTTGTTGTTGAAAGCAGTCCAAATTAGTCCATGATAGGTCTTACTGAGTTCAAAGGGTCTTTCTTTCAGATAAAAACTCTAGTCTTTACAATCAATTCAGTAATTTTTCAAATTTTTTATAAAATATTCATTTTAATTACAGTAATTTCAGAGCCAAATAATTGCATAGAATAGCATCTTTGACTATATTACATAGAGTTGGAAGCTGTATAAGTGCAACAAACCACAATCCTACTATTTTATTACGGCATCCTCTTTTACACCTGTGCTTCTACAAACTGGGATGGGATTTTCTAAACAAGGTGAGATAAGATATGGCAGGTTCCTCGCGGATAAAATGAGACCAGTCAAATCAGGCTTAGAACCTCAGATAATTGTAGTTTGGTACCTAGCAGCCTGTGACTGATCTCAACTGAACAGAGGAAAGTTCTCTTTGGCTAAATCTGTAGAAGATTGCTAAGGAAGTTAATGGAAAAATGTTTCCCATTTACTCTTCTTCCAGCAGCCTTTCTCCATATCCTATAGCATTTCAAAAAGTTTCTTTGGGGTGGCAGTTGACTGTAGGAGAGAAGTGATGGGATATTGGTTTTTGTTCCTATAAATCATCTTAAGCAACCATATATACATCTTACAGCAATAATTCTGGATTGCCACTTATTTTACAAGGCTCTACATATAGATGTGAAAGAAGCCTCTTCTCATTCAGAAGACCTTATAAATCTTTTCATTCTAAAACAGCACAAAGCTCAAGATTTAGAATTATATTTCCCTGACAACAGACGTTTCTGGTTGACTGTGATGCAATGCTGCTGAGGTGGAGCTGCTTATTTCTTAGCACAAGACAGTTCTCTTCTCTCTATCTGAAATAGCCAATGTATACTTTTTGGAATATAAAGAGTACTTACATTTGCAGCTTGTGAGCAGTTTCGCTCTATGTTTCTTCTCTTTGTAGATCTTGTCTTCTAACTGTTGATTTCCCTTCCTTTCTTTTGACAGCCTGGCTAATCAGCAAGACTAAATGGAATGTGCGGCCTTGCACTTGCTGTTCTTTTATGTTTTCTGGAAGCTAGCAGCAGCCCTAGTTGCCATGACAACCAGGACCAACACTGGAAGCCTTCATTAATAATTAAATAAATCACATACCTGGTTTATTAACCCTTTTTGCATTCCTGGTTGGGTGCTTCATGCCATTAGATTTTGCCTTGGAAATAAGAGGACATTTCTAAGAAAACAACCATGCAGTTTTGAAATGAAATCTTCGCATTTTCATAGATGTCTGTGTGTGATAAGAGCAGCTTTTTCTTACCTGTTGTCTTTCAGACATATGCTAACGGTGTAAAATATGCATAAATTGCTGATAGTGTCATATTGATTGATTCTATTACTGTTTACTTGAAAAATATTCTTATAAGTCTGGGTTGTGTAAACTTTCATAAACCTGTATAGAGGGTTTTTTTTTTTACTAGCAAAACTATACAATCAGTTCAGATTTGTAATGCACATACGTTTGTGTCAAAAATTAACTTTTAAAGGTGATTATTTGTGTGTATGTGTGTAAAGGAAGATGTTACTGTATAGTCTTCTTGTGTTATAGCCATGGCTATTCAATTCTCTGGATCTTGTTCATGGTTTTTAAACTCAGTTGCTTTAAGCCTTACTTCCACTGGGAACTTAAGGTCTGTGCATACATTGGATTTTGCAGCATTTAAAATGGCTGGGGATGTTTTTCAATACCAGAGCTCCCCCTACTGATAAAAATGCTGAGGATCTGAGTTGTTTTAGGAACAGATGGGATGGGAAGCCACTCCACCTACTTCAAACTATCCATGTTTTCTTCTTGCAGAGAGGCATTGCTGTTTTCAGCAAAAAGTTCCAGTTCTTTGCACTAGATTTTATGAGACTGGTACAGATGAAGAGTGTGAACATGCAAAAGGGAAAGTGAAGGGAATTGCATTTTTCTTCACTTACCCTATTAAACAAAAGATATTTCTCTAGTGGGTGATCAAACAAATGGAGCTTAATCAATCAGGCATTTATGTAAAATAACAAAATACTATCTGAGTCTCCAAAGAATATTGTTTATTGGTACTGGTTTGGTTCTGCAACCCAACAAGACAGACACAGACTTCAGAGGATAATTAGAACTGCAGAAAAAAACATTACTACCAACCTGCCTTCCATTGACGACCTGTATACTACACGAGTCAAAAAGAGGTCTGTGAAAATATTTACAGACCCGTCTCATCCTGGACATAAACTGTTTCAACTTCTACTCTCAAAATGATGCTATAGAGCACTGCACACCAGAACAATTAGACACAAGAACAGTTTTCCCCCGAACGCCATCACTCTGCTAAACAAATAATTCCCTCAACACAGTCAAACTAGTTCCTAAGTAAGAAGATTACTATTAATCTTCTCATCGTTCTGTTGGAAGAAATAACCTTCTGGGTTCAGCTCCAAGTGGGGAAAAAGACACTGGAAACATGGAGACTGCTTGGAAAGATGGTTTAACGGTGAACAGGATCACATGGCTTGAGTTCCTGAACAGAAAAAGGGGCGAGACACAGTGAGTCCCCGGGTTTTATGTTCTCTTTGGCTTTGAACTTCCTGGGGCCCCGAAAGAGTATCCTGATTGGTTGTCAGACTCCCAAGGGGTGGGGGTCTTAGTTAGCCTTGCTGGCTGATGTAATCTTCCCAGGTGCCATGAAGTGAGTTTCTGTCCTAGATAGGCCCTATTGGGTTGCAGATTATGACCCATTAACAAAAGTGTGGGGGGGAGGGAGGCAGGAAGCTGCTTGTCTTTTAAAACATGTTTCTTCATTTCTCATCCAGGGAAATATAATATTCTGCCTTTTTAATATTTCCTAAAATATTTCATTCTTCTAGGAAAGGGGTGGGTGCTAACTTCCTACAGTTCCTATCACCCATCTCCTCCCACTTATGACTGTATGACTGTAACCTTGTTGCTGGTATCCTTAAGATTTATATTGACTGTTTCCTAATGTGATTTGATTGCTTATTTGTTCCCTATGACTATCATTAAGTGTTGTAAGTGTTATACCTTATGATTCTTGATGAATGCATCTTTTCTTTTATGTACATCGAGAGTGTGTGCATCAAAGACAAATTCCTTGTGTGTCCAATCACACTTTGCCAATAAAGAATTATATTCTATTGTGTCCACAAATACTTAATCAAACCATGTGGATCGTGCAGTCATATGACATGTTAAACAGGTTTATTATGGTAAGAGGGGTATGTATATTTGGCTTATTATTGTTCAGATTCCAATTAATTAATATGAAATGAAGCCAGAAAATGGATTATTTCAGTAATGCCAAACCCATTGATCTCAATCACTCTGCACAGTGCAAACATACCACAATGGGTTATTGAGAACATTCAAATTAAAAACAAGTTGGAATGATACCATTGAATATTCATGGCAGTCTACTATGTATTATTTCCCCTTATACTGGAAGTAGTCCACTAAAAAAAAAGTCTGTCCTTCAAAAATCAGTGGAACTTATATTTAATTGTGTTGTTTTTTATCCTGTTTAACCTCTAGACTGGCAACATATATATATTATGTAAAATATTGCATCCTGGACCCTGTTACTTGAGAATATATTTTAAAAAGCCAAATGGTAATATATTACAAAAGGGAACAAGAGAATTTTTCTAAAAAGATCAGCATACAGATAAAATGAAGGATAAATTGGACAAAATTGGTAACTACAGAATCCATGAAAGCTTATCTTACAGTGTTTTCAAACAGAAGTAGACTGTGGGAAGGAGGCAACTTTCTCCTTTCCTGCAAAATATCTACCTGTTCAAATTCCCTGTTCTAGTCCCACTGAGTTTACTGTGATATTCCAATACTTAATATTTATTATGACTAATTATATAATAATGCAATAGACTAGACTAGACTAGACTAGACTAGACTAGACTAGACTAGACTAGACTAGACTAGACTAGAATTCTTTATTGGCTAAGTGTGATTGGACACATAAGGAATTTGTCTTTGGTGCATATGCTCTCAGTGTACATTAAGCTACATTAATCAAGAATCATAAAGTACAATACTTAATGATAGTCATAGGGTACAAATAAGCAATCAAATCATACTAGGAAGCAAAACAATATAAATCGTAAAGATACAAGCAACATGGTTATAGTCCTAAGTGGGAAGAGATAGGTACTAGGAAGGATGAGAAGAAGAATAGTAATGCAGTCTTAGTAACTAGTTTGACAGTGTTGTGAGAATTAGTTGTTTAGCAGAGTGATGGCGTTCAGGAAAAAACTGTCCTTGTGTTTAGTTGTTCTGGTGTGCAGTGCCCTATAGCGTCATTTTGAGGGTAGAAATTGAAACAATTTGCAGTAGTCTCTAAATTCCCTCTTCAGAGACTTTTGCAGCTTGTTGCTCATTATATGTATAGAAATAAATTCCTAGGAAGATTAATTTATTGGTCTTAGAAAAAGTAATTCTTTCCTTATTCCTTTAATATTTTGGATTTACAGTTTCTTCAATTTATCTAGCATGGAAGTATTGATTACAGAAGTATTTATTATTTATCTCTAGAAGTACAGCATGCAAAAAAATTAAACCAGCTCTAAAGTAGATCACAGGCTGCTCCTCTTTGTACATAGATATGGTGCTGAAATGCCAGTATAATAATTATAAAATTATTGTTCATTGACAATGAACAGTGGGAAAACTGAAGGCATTATCAAAATAATATCATTAGAGGGCACTATATAGCTTACTTTGGTTTCTTCAAAGTTTGGTAAGGCTGTTAAGGTAGCCTTGTTTCTAACACTTATACTTTCAAAGGAAAATATTGATAAAAATATATAAAAATTGATAAAAATTATTTTTTATATATCAGCATCATTTCATCAGTATGTTTTTCATTCTTGGTTCAACAAGCACATATACATTTGAATATTTAGTCAAATCAATATTATGTGGATCTTTTTATTAAATTAGTTTTTTCTCCCTTCTTCTAGTTTGCTTATTTAATTACTATTTTGTATGTATTTTTATTTTTATGACCCCTACGTTATAAATGATGTTGAAGTTATTTGTATTTCATTATACTGTATAATAAAAAACTAAAAATGATGTTTAGTTGATCAGTCTTAATGAATAGAATAAACAGATATGGATCCAGACATTTGTGTTAAGCAGATTAGGAATTTACAGTATATTTGTGGTGTATCTACCACATTGAAAACTGTAAATATTTCTTAAAATAATATTGACATGATCTCTGAATGAATGTCACAGATTTTATTAGAATGAAATACTTTGCCAAAAAAGCAATTACAATTTTTAAAAATTCAAAATATTTCTATAAAAAAAATTAATGGTATACTGTACATTGGAGCAGTATTATTTTCATTGCTCTCCTTTGATGACTATAGCTTGACAGCAGAAAATTTGAAAAAGTGTCTGCCTAGAATTACAAATTCAGCCTTCTGATTGTTCCATCTCAATGACACTAGTAAAGTAGATCTTATATGAAGCACCCTGAAGTGGGATATTCTGGTAAGATTGATAAAGGAAGGGTGGATATGTCAAATGGAATCAAGCTTAAAGAGGCTGAAGATTGTGGCTATTGTCTTCAGCTTCTGCCACTAAATATGGGATTAAAGAGGACGCCATCTCCTGTCTCGTTGGGTCCATTCTGATTGTACATGTTTCAAAAATTATTGACAAGGATGGTTCTGTTTAAAGTCACAGCTGATATCACCAGCATCCTAAACGGCTTTAGAGGGTCACTGCAAAAGAGACATTTTATTCATTTTTAGTTCATGCTCTGTCATAGCAGTTTTGAAAATCAGATTTTCTTGATATTAAGACCTTTCTATTAAGAAAAATACTTCATTATTATCTTGGAATGTCATCTGAACATACATGCAACACAGTATTTTTTTAAGTTATTAAGGTTTTATATTTAGTGGAATCACATAGTGTATATTAGTTTTTCTCAGCCTGGTACCTTTCCAAATGCATGTAATATTATGGAATGGATTAGGTAGAATAAATGGCAGTGTTCCATTCTTTTTAAAAAGTGCAAAAGACTTATTTCCATTATTGGTATACACAAATCAAATAGGTAGATATTATACATTTTAAA